TTGCTATGCACAGGATCCCAATTTCTTGATAGCCTCAGCAACACTCATTATTTTCTATTTTTATTTTTGTGCATGATAATAGCTGTCTTCAAGGGTGTGAGGTGATACCTCATTGTGGTTTTGAGTTGCATTTCCCTAATGATTAGTGATGAGCATCTTTTCACCTGTTTATTGGCCATTAATGTATCTTCTTGAATTGTCTACTCAAGTCCTTGATCCATTTTTAAAGTCAGGTATTTTTTGTTGTTGAGTTACCAAGACTTATTTCCGGGCTTTGATTCTATTTCCTATCCTATATCCTATATCCTATATCCTATCTTATCCTATCCTATTCTTCTATTCTTATATAGATCTGTCTTTACGCCAGTACAAGGCTATTCTGATGGCTGTAGCTTTGGAGTTAAGTTTTGGAATCAGGAGTGTGAGACCTCCATTCTTTTTCAAGATTTCTTTGGCAATTTAGGATCCCTTGAGATTCCATATTAATTTTAGGGTGGATTTTTCTATTTTTGTAAAAAAAATCATTGGGATTTTGAAAGGGATTATACTTCCATCCTTTGGCTTTCAATCTGTACATGTCTTTATATCTAAAGTGAGTCTCTCAGACTCAGGTCATGTTTCTTCCCCTTATGTAAATTTGTCTTTTGATTGGGGATTTTAATCCATATGTGTTTAAAGTAATGACGGATAGGGATGGACTTGTGCCATTTTGTTTTGTTTATAGCTTTGTCCCTCATTCCCTCCGTTACTGCCGTCCTTTGTGTTCAGATTTTTTATAACGACATGATTTGGTTCCTTTCCCTTTCCCTTTGTGTATAGTCTACAGATAATTTTCCTTGTGGTTACTATGGAGATTACACATAACATCCTAAAGTTATAAGAATCTAGTTTGACTTGATACCGACTTAACTCCGATTGCACACAAAAACTCTCATTTACAGCTCCACTGTCCTTTGTTTAGTGAAGTCACAAATTACATCTTTATATGTTGTGTACCCATTAACACAGACTTATGTTTTATGCATTTGTCTTTTAAATCCTATAGAAAAAAAAGTGGAGTTAAGACCAAAATCACAATGATTTTTCTATTGACCATATGTTTACCTTTATTATAGCTCTTTATATTTGATATGGACTTAAGTCAATGTCTAGGATCCTTTCAACTGGAAGCATTCCTTGTAGGGCAGGTTTAGTGGTAATGAAACTCCTTCAGTGGGAATGTATTAAGTTCACCCTCATTTTGTAGGACACTTGTGCTACATTATAGAATTCTTGATTGACACATTTTTTCTTTCACCATTTTAAATGTGTCATCTTACTGCCTTCTGGCCTTGTAGGATTTTACCAAGAAATTCACTGATAGCCTTATTCAGGATTCCATATATACAACGCCAGTTTTCTCTTGCTTTCAAGATTCTCACTATTTGGCTTTCGTTTGATTATAATGTGTCTTAGTGTCTTTCTCTTTAGATTTATGCTACTTGGAATTCTTTAAGCTTTGGGGATTTGTAGATCTACATCAGGTTTGGGGAATTATTGACCATTATTTTTTAAAATGATCCCTCACCAACCATCTCCTCCCTCAGGGATCCATGTAACTAGTACGTGGCTGCCCAGTGGTGCCCTGTATGTCCCTCTGGCTCTGGGTGTGTTTCTTCATTGTTATTCCTCGGACTTGCTACTTTGAATATCTGTCTTCAAGTTGGCTGATTTATTCTTCTGCTTGTTCAAGCCTGTTGTTCAACCCCTCTAGGAAATTCAATTCAGTCAATGTATTTTTCACTCCAGAATTTTTATTTGGTTCAAATTTTTATCCTTTTACTAATATTCTCATTTTGTTCATGTAACATTTTCCTCACTCCTTTCAGTTCTTTGTCCATATTTCCCTTTAGTTCTTGAGCATATTTAAGCAGGTGTTTTAAAGCCTGTTTAGTGTACCCAGTGCGTTTCTTCCACATCATTTTTCCCCTTTGAATGGGCGATGTTTTCCTGTTTCTTCGTATACTTTGTGATTTTTCTGTTGAAAATTAAACATTTGAAAGAACAGCTACCTCTCCCAGTCTTTGCAGGCTGGCTCCATGCTCAGAAAGACCTGCAGTAATTAGGGCAGGTTCTGATCCCTGGAATCAGCCTGGGGTGGTAGCTTAAGGTCTTTTCTCAGCATGAATCTTGCCAACCCTGCATTTGTCCTTTTATCTTCCCATAGATGTGGCTTCTTTTAAATGTCTCACTTTCCCTAAAAGTCTGACCCCAACCTGTTTTTAAGGCCTTCCATTGTATTCTACCTCTGATCTCTTGCCTCCGCCATCTGAAAGTCTGTCATCCCCCTGAAGCTCTGACAAGCAGTGCCGGATGCTTCCCAGGGCTTTTTCTAGCTACACGCTCTTCCCTATCAGGCCCTGAGTTAGGTTCAACAGACCAGCCTTTCAGGCGGCTTCCAGACAGACTAGAACATTATAAACAAGGGTCTGCTCTACTCCTGCTGGTTCGAGAGGGGACTGGGTATTGGGCAGCAAATTCCTCCCAACTGCGCTGCGCCAGATTTGGGATAAGGTGAGGAGTAATAACACCATGAAATTCCTACCATTTGAATGTGCCTTTTACTTGAATGGGTCTTCACTTGGTTACTATACACCTTTGGCTGTTTCCCGCATCTCTATAAAGTTATTTTCCCCCAGCCCTAGTTGTTAGTTTCATGTTCCCGTGGGGGAACGAGGGTCTGGTGTTTCCTAGTCCAGTATCTCCCTCTACAACTGATGTTCTTAAATATGTTATACCAACTAGAACTAGTCATATTAGGTGGTCTTAGGTTTGGATCAACATTTCTTCTAGTTCTGTCACCTTAAGGACAGAATGCTAAGATGTAAACATGTTGATTCCTTGAAACATTTGCAAAGCTAAATAATTATTCCGAATGATCTTTCCCATTTATGCTAAGACATACAAAGTCTGCCTTTCCAACCCCAACCAAGATCCAAACCATGACTATGAAACTTAGTGCTCTTACAAATGTAGAATCAAACAATTTGTATTGTTTTAGAACAATGCTATTTAAAGCTGGTTCTGAGAGATAAAAAGGGTCTACCGCAATGTAAATAACACACTGCTTTCTTAATCCTGAAAATCTTGCTATGAAAAAAGCCAACTGGACAAAACCTTGTACTCTTTGATGTAGTTTATTTTTATTTTGACATAATCTCCTTATGTCATTGTGGACCAGTAACAAGCCCCATGCCAACCCTTCTGCAAACTACACTAATAGCACTGTTTCAGAGCACTTGTAATTATTACCTCACTTGAACTTTCCATAGACTCTTTCCCCATAGTTGAATAAGTAAAAGGGGAATGTGGGAAAGATTACACTGATTATTTTTAGTAAGGACTACTTTTTTCCATCTCAGATAAGTCTGAGAGGTGTTTCATGTCACAAAACCCTAACTTTTTTGCTTTTCAAATGTAAAAATAGAACATGAACTAAATTCAACTATTATGTAAGTTATTTCATCTTCCCAGAGCTAACAACTACAGTGTTTCATTATACAGGTATCAAAGAATAAGACACATTAGAAGTGAACCACTATGTAGTTATTTACATAATGATTTAACACCTGATATATCCAAACCCATATAAAACCTATTTTAGTTTAATTACACTTATGGCTTTAAGGTAGATACTACAATAATAATCCTGACTCTCTATGGACTTAAAAGTAAGTGAATGCCTCTTCTAGAAAAGGCTCAATGCACAATTCATCAACCTAAAAAGCCCTGAAAAGTAAGTGCACATCACGCTATCTGTTCTATATAAAATGTTCTGAGTCCTTTAAGGTGCTTAGTCTAACACATATTTGTTAGAAATACATCCATTAGGAAATTGGAACAACCAAATAACAGTATCTAAGGCTTTTCTTTTTTCAGATTTTAGCGCTTAGTTTACAAAGCAAGATGATCACAAATAAAATTTCAACAGAATAGTGCTACAGTGGGAATTCAACAGGCCTCAAAAGGCAGATTGTGGAGGATGCCCTCTTTGTGGTTGTTTTTATTTAAAATCTGCTTTTACATTTGCCAGGACTGCCCCAATATTATTTTTATAATGTACTCTTCCTGAATCTAAATGTGTTTCGGTGAAGGCTACATTTACACAGAAAGTAAGCTTTACAGTCCTCAAACAGATGTTAATAAAGCAGCCAGCCAAGAACGTTACTTGTCCATTACAGTTCATTTTGCAAAACCTCATCAGTGTGGTGGGGGAATATCCAAGGACCTTAGGAGAACAGGAATATGAAATCTAGTCATGTGTACTCTCTAGTGTTAATTCAGTGCTTTTTCTGAGTTATTCAATAGTGTTCCTTCTAACACACCAGCCCTTACCACAGGGAGTTCTTATGTCGCAAGCTCCACAGACCGAGACGTCACTTTCATTCTGCTTTCTCCTAGAAATCTCTAGTTGGTAGTTCTGTTTGTCTCAAGTGATTTGTAGTTAGTTGAATCACAATTGGGTGTTTCTTGTGTGTTGTTTTGTTATAATATTGGAAATTTCAGTTGTTAGCCCATGGGGCCCTGCATATAAGTTGTTCATTTTCCAGCTGGATGGACTTCAATGGATACCTTGTATGTGACACATGGCTACATAAGGATATTTAGTCTTCTCAGCAGTAGTAAGTTCACACACACACACACACCCCCCACACATTTACATATTATTTATATATGTTTTTTCTGGTTACATCAACTCTTCTCAATCCTTATACTATAATTACCATTTTGTTATATTTTCAACAGAGTAGATGATTGATTACTTCTTTCATTGCTGCATTTACCACTTTTCTAAGAATGCTAAAGTCATTAAATTAAAAAAAGCAATCCTACTAGTTATTAGTTACCACACTTACTTACCCTGCTGTTCGAGTGTTTGGGTGGACACTTCAGTTAACGGAATGTTGGTGACAGTGGTGATAACTCTGTGCTTAAAGTTAATGAATGACAGGCACTTAGAGTTGGTGAGGAAACCAGAGTTTCCAATTTTCCATGATAGCCCTCATTTATTTCAAAGTTCACCATTAAACAAAACAAAAAAGGACTGCAAAGACCACTGGACCCAAAGCTTTATACTGGAATTTTTTTCTCCTTTTCATTTGGAAAGAAAAATAGTGGGTAATTATGAAATTTGGGTAGGGTTCTGTAAGATCTAACACTGAAAAGAGATTACCAATCCCCAGATGGGGCTTGGGGCGAATATAATGAGGAAATCTGTAAGATTATGGAATGTTGAATGTTATTTCCTTCTGAAATAGATATTTTTATTCTACTTGCCAAAACACATGGCAATAAAGGTTGGTTTCCATCCTTTGAACCCCTATTTTATTTCTGTATTTTTGAATTAATGTTGTTTCCTTCTAAAAAAAATTTTTTTTTAAATCATCTATGGCCACAAAATTTGAAGTACTGAATTTAATTCTCAATATTTCTTACTAAAATAGTTGTGGTGGAACAAAAGGGTAGGTGAGGAAAGAAACAGTTGTGTGTGTTTTTAAGTTAGTAAAAGTAATACCTTCTTTCCCAGAGAATCAATCAAATTCTTCTTAAATATTTAAATTGTACATAAAGAGCCCTTGTATGAACTAGGATTCACTAAGAACTGTAGAAAGTTAGTCTAAGGGTCATTAACATACTGTTAGGTTCACAGCTTTATACCCCCCCCCCCCCCGTATTATTGTAATAACCCCATAACCATAGAGGAAAGTTGTGGAGCTCCCTTTGAAGGAAATATATTTTGGCTAATAGCTGGGAGTTCAGAGAGCCTAAATTTTTCTTCTAAAAAAAAATGAGCTATTAGAATGAATGAAAACCAAGTCCTACATACTAAAGAAATAACAGGTAGAAATAACCTTTTATGGGTATAGCATGCAGGCACATTCAAATATATAAATACCACACAGTAAACAAATATTTTTTTAAAAAGATTTAAGATCATAAATAGGTCATCGTTGTCACAACACATTTCAGAATTAAAAAAACACACATTTTGGCTTTTTAGGAAAAAGGTTCCTTTTTTAAAAAATCAACTCCCTCATAATTGAAAGGTCTCATAATTAAAAGTACATTTTTAAATTTCCAGTCTCCTAAGGCACAATGCTTATTTAATCAGAAAGCCAGCGTCACCACCCTGCTGCGGCAAGAATAAGCAGCATGGTGTCAGCACGAAGGAAAACATCGAACTGGACGGACAGAATCGCCGGTCATTTAGGAAAAGGGACAGACACCAAGTGATGATCTTTCTAGTTAAGAAGCCCCAGTGCTCTGTTATGTGGCACTTTCTGTTAAAAAAATTTTTTTAATCAATGTATTTTACCTCAGACAGACTTAATTCACCACAAAGGCGCGATGGGCGGGAAAGGAGGTTGGTCACACACAGCCCTTCTTAAAAGGGGCCTCGGAGGGGAAACCACCTTAGAAGGTGGACGGGGGCGCACTGCGTGCAGCCCAGGCTGGGCCGAGCCTATTCCCGGGCGGCCGCAGCGCCGGGCACACACCGGAGGCGCCTCTTCCCACCCACCCACCAGGGCGCAGGGATGTGCCACAGTCGGATGCTTAAAGCGTGTTCATCTAACCAAAGAGTTCTTTAAAATATAACAAATGTAAAAATTCCTCATTTTTGACTCTGCCTTGCTTTGTCCTGTGATACCAACCGAGCTTTAAGGTTTTACATGTACAATGTGGTGACTTAGTGTTACTCTTAAAAGAAAAACCCACAGTTAGTGAGTGTCCACAGATGAAACACGGGGTGAGGCTCATAGCTGAATCGGTCACGGAGTGTCATGTTAGTCAACTGTAAACTCTTGAAAGGTAAGACTGGGGCTGTGGATCAGACACAGCCGAGCACAGCAGGCGAGGAGAAGCCTGTCATTCCAACTCTGACAAGGTGCACGGTCTTCGAAATTCTTGTCCACGTTCATGGAGCCACTTATTGGATACTGTGAGGGAACAAAATGTGTTAATTAAATACTAGTTAGTGGGGAAAATTAATTGATCAGAGCTAAGTCTATAATAGTTTTTATATAGGCTAAAAGTTCAAGACCAAAACTACGTAAAGGCAGATGCTACTTAGGCCGTCTTTTAAATACTTCACCAAATGTTAGAAACACGGGAGATTTTATTTTAATCCTCACTTGAGAATGTTTTTTGTTGATTTTAGGGAGAGAAACATCGGTGTGAAAGATGTCCTACCAGGGACTGAACCCTCAACTTAGGTATGTGCCCTGACTGGGAATCGAACCTGCAACCCTTTGGTATACGGAAGACACTCCAGCCAACTGAGCCCCTGGCCGGGGCTGAAACACAGATGAGTGATGATGACTTTAGACACGTGTATGTGTGTGTATAGCTATGAACACTTGAGAGTATATGTGCATTTCCTAAAATTTCTAATGTTCAATGTAAGGCTTGAGCTGAAATTAAAAGGTAGGTACAAATAGAACAGAACACTCAGAACACTTTCACCTGTTTGCAAAATACAACCTCTAATACAAAGACATTTTAAAAACCAAGTCTTCACTCTAAAGGAGCAACCCTGTGATCAATCACTACTATCACGGGCTCATTAAGTCTCCTTGTTTCCAAGATACTGTTTTCTAAATGTAACCCCAAAGAAATTAATTTCCTAATCAATGGCATCAACATGTCCAAAATATCTGAACTAATCTGAACTAGGACCCATAATAATTCTTTACTCTTACCTTTCTCAACTCCTGTGTCCATCAAACCCTGTCAGTTTTCTCTACATCTCTTGAATCCATTCTTCGCTCTCCAACCCTTTTGTTGCTGCCTTAGTCCAGGCTTTCATTACTGTCCACTTAGACAATGGAAAAAAATCTTTCTAAACTGATCTCCCTTCCACTAGCCGCTCTTCATTCTAGTCCAGTGGTTTTCAAACATAATCATCAGGGAAGATTTTTAGAATCCTATGATCAGGTGTCACTCCTTAACCTTCCTATTCCCAATAGGGTAGCCACTAGACTCATGTGGCTACTGGGCACCTAACATATTAAAATAACTTCACCTGTTTCTTTTTGTTAATGTGGCAAATCATGTACTTCATGACCACGACAGTGAGTGCCCCTCTCACCTCATAATAGTCCTGGACCTGGTTCCTAACATGCCTGGAAAATTATTGCTCTATCTCCAAGACCACATTTAAAAATTAAGCTTTGAAGGTGGCTCTCCAAATGTAAGGAGCTGCGATCCTGTTTACATCTTTATATTAGTACATACTACACTGTAATTTACCCATGAGTAGGTCTCAACCAGAGACCACTGTGAACCCCTTAAAGGGAAGACACTCTTACTCAACTTCGTGTCAACTAACGATCCTTAGAGTAACAAGTAGAAATACTATTAAAAATAAGAGCTGTCATCAAAATTGTGATCTGTTAAAAGCAAATTTATATTAGGATCAGTAACTTGCCCCGGCCGGGTGGCTCAGTTGTCCCACACACCAGAAGGTCACGGGTTTGATTCCTGGTGAGGGCACACACCTACGTTGTGGGTTCAATCCCCAGTTGTGGCACATCCAGGAGGCAACTGATCAATGTTTCTCTCTCTCTAAAAACCAAAAGAAAACATATCCTTGAGTGAAGATTAAAAAAAGAGAGAGTAACTCGCTGGGTTGAGTCCCACTCAACGTTAAAGTCATTGTAGGCACATCTGTCCAAAGTTTTGTTTTCAATTTAAGATGTAGATGATAATTTCAAAATATGAAACAAAAACCACATTCTGTTCAGAGAATATAAAAAGCATTTACCCCATTTGTTTCCAACCAGCACGGGGCATGCTGCATGTCGTGTGCTGTAGTCTCCCTCCCCACTGGCAAACAGGTTATACCAGAAAACAGCAGTTCCCTGTGGAGACAAAAGGACCCCCAGACAAGTATCAGGTTACAACTCTTTGCAGTAATTAAATTCTCTGCTCCTGTGAAAGTACCCTTCCATGGCAGCTTCGTCTTCCTCTAATGTAATTCTGAAAATATGATCAACTACAAAAATTTGGTGATCACATAAAAACATTACTACTACAAAGTTGCTTGACAAAAAAGGGTACGCATTTGCCAAAACAAAGCTAATAAATCTTACAATAGCAGGATGGAGGCAGAAACTCATGGAACCCATTTTAGAAATGAAAACTTTTAAATACTAATCCTTGGTGGTTCATTACCTTTAGGTACTCATGGTGAATTGTGCCATAAAAATACCCATAGTTTTATCTACATTTAATACAGTCCTTAAGTATGCTACCTTTAAAAATGTAATTCATTAATAAGATGCATCTCTTCCTTAGGGGGGAAAAACAGACACAAAACAATTAAAATAATAAACAGCCTGGCAGGGCATGGCTCAGCTGTTGAGCATCGACCTAGGACCCAGGAGATCACGGTTCAATTCCTGGTCAAGGCACATGCCCGGGTTGCGGGCTCGATCCCCAGTGTGGGGCATGCAGGAGGCAGCCAGCTGATCAATGACTCTCTCATCATTGATGTTTCTCTCTCTCTCCCCCCCCTTCTCCTTTCCTCTCTCTGAAATCAATAAAGTTACATTTAAAAGTAAGTTTACCTTTTTGGGCCAAACACTAGCTCCTACTTCAGGAAAAACAGTGGCTCCTCCTGCTGACACATCACTCATCTGTAAGAGGTAAGAGCACATTACCAAACGTGCAGCGCAATCGAGGGAAGCATGCCGCCGGGAGGAGGGTATGATGCCAGAATATGAAAACACCTGGACTTCTTACACAGAGGGGTGTGTGCAGGCTGCTCAGCTTTCAGAAGGCAAACGATGCTGTTGACTTACATATGTAACTAAAATTATATATATAGATATGTATATAAAGCAAAGAAATTATAAAGTCAGGAAGGGAAATGGGAGTAATTTGGGACAGGCACTTCACTTATAGCCGGATGTAAAAAGGGTGATTTTACATTGATAAAGTAATAAAGGGGTATAAATACTTATTTTATTACACTAGAATATAATCTCCATGGGGCAGGAATTTTCATCTATTTTGTTCCCTGCTGAGCTTTAGTGTCTAGAACAGTATCTCAAGAACAGTAGGTGATCAGTAAATGAATTTAAACCAAATAAAAACCATGAGAAAAATAAACTAAAATCAGTTTTGTCATTTCTTGTGGTAGGGAATCAACACATCCTAACTGAGAAGTACAAGATTAAGGGAGTGCATAAAGTTATAATCTTGAAGTCTACATCTTTATGATTTGTATACTTTTCTGATATTACATCAAATTCAAAACTATGAAAATGTACCTGCAGTAAATGTACCTGCAGTCATCTGAGTGCAAACATGTAAATTCATATGAACGTGCAGAGATACTTATATACACATAGATGACTAAACAGTCCATACTCCAAAGTATCAACAATGACTGTGACCATCAGTAATTAACTTTCTTCTTCAGGTTGTAATATTACAACTGAAAGCATTACTATTGGAAAAAAAATTCTTAACTAAGTTGTAGAAACTTTAGGATGGCAAATAAGAGCAAACATTGGAACATATCAAAATAAATTATGTGATCAAATCNCCCTTTACTAAGTTGTAGAAACTTTAGGATGGCAAATAAGAGCAAACATTGGAACATATCAAAATAAATTATGTGATCAAATCCAACTTAAAAATTTTAGTTGTAACTTACATAAAACAGCCATGTAGCAATTCTATTTCCTGTCCCCAGCTCTTTGAAAGCATCTGGTTCATCTTTCTGTAAATAAAACAAATTCAATGGTGTAAAATTCAGTAATGCATATTTTCCAGTGGCAACTAAACATCAGTATGCTGAAGGGTATGCCAAAAACAACCCACAAAGTTTCCGATATAATAGCCAGTGCACTATATGTAGTAGGCATTCAAATTGTTGGCTGTTGGTTCAGCTTGTACACTGATTACTTTTGATAAGACCAATGAAGGAAAAAACCCTAGATTTATTAACCTAAATAATAACCAATAGCTACTACTCAGATTATTTTAAAAATTAACATTTGTAGTTTTAGCTTCCAAAATAAACAAGACATGAGGGTCTCTTAGCTACATCCATGAAGACTACTCTCTATGGGTGAAAAATTTATGTTGAGACTTACTTTGAACTCATGATCCATTCAAATGTTTACTGTTACTATTGTCTTTCTTTTGGACAGTTAGCACTTTATTCTGGCTGGAGAATTCACATCTGGCTATTTAAATCTAAATTAATATAGTATAGTCTCTTGGCATTTATCCCAGAAAAATGAAAATGTATTTTTCCCATAGAAATTTATATAGTTATTTATAATAGTGCAAAACTGGAAGGTTCCCTAATATCTGTCAGAGGATAAATGACTAAAAAAACTGTCATATATTCATATTATGGAATACTACTCAGCAGTGAAAAGAAACAATATTGATACTTTGTATAAGACTTGGGTAAACCTTAAGGACATTTTGCTGAGCAAAAAGAGACATTCTCAAAAGGATCCATACTATATAATAACATTCATATAACATTTACGAAATAACAATTACAGGGAAGTAGAGATTAGTGGTTACCCAGCGGTGAGGGAGGGGAAGCAGAAGAGTTTGCAGCTACAGAGCAGTACTGCAAGGGAGTCTTGCAGTGATGGTGTGGTTGTGTATCTTGACTGTAGTGATAGTTACACAAAACTACAAGAGTAATAAAATTCCACAGGCACACACACGACTGCAGGTATAAATGCTGAAATGTGAATCAGCTCTGTGGCTGTACCGGTGACATTTCCTAGTTCCGAGAGTGTACTCTCGTTCTGCAAGCTGTTGAAACTAGGAAAGGCGAGCGAAGGGTGCATGCGTGGAACTCCCTGTACATCCCATTGCAACTTCCTAGGAAGCTTTCATTATTTCAAAATAAAAAGCTAAGGAAAAAATTAGCTCACTAATATCAGGACTTGAACTGTAGTCTTTCACATCGCCCAAGACCCTCAGACATTTTTTCAATAATTGAAAAACAGAAGAGACTAAAAAATATTTTTTGCTGGCCTACAGAGAAAAAGTCTGAGATTCTGAGATTAAGCCAATCAAGGGCTATAACACAATATAGAGACTATTTTCTTTCTAAAGAATATACCCTTATTTAAAAATGGTAAAAGATCAAGAAGTCTGTTACAATACCTGGCACATTCTTTAGAATTCATGTAATTATAATAAAATTTAAGATTTGATAATACCATACTTTATAGCTCAATGTGTTAAAGAAATCAAAAAAGGTCCAATATTTATTCATCTTAAGCCAGAGTACCTGGGCAACGACAGTTTGGCAAACTGCTTTGATACTGTCCTCCAGTCTCTCAGTATACAGTGATGCTCTCCAGGTCCATCCATACTCTTGCAAAGAGTAAGATTTCCTTTTTTACGGATAAGTAGTAGTCCATTGTGTAAATGTACCACAGCTTTTTTATCCACTATCTACTGATGGGCACTTGGGCTAGGCTATGAATTTTTAATACTAAAGAACAGAATCAACACGTCATGCCTAAGCTTCAGTGGAACTCCGACATTCTTTTTTTTTTTTTTACTTACCCGTGCAAAATCAAAATGGGGTTCATACTGTCCTCCCACTCCATAATTTGCTACCTGAAGGAGAGAAAGCATGAATGAAAGAAATACCAAGGTTACTATTCAAAAAAATCTATGAGCCCCATTTTTGGCCTCTTATATCATCATGGTTAGGTACTTCTAGAGAAATGAGAAGCAAAGCATTTTAAATTAATGAGAGCTCCCCAGGATCCAAGGGTAAAAATCTACGGATAGCTACTATATGCTATTTTAGAACCTTAGTTAATATGCTTTTCTTTAGCAAATGTTTGGGGGACATAGTTTTCTCCAATATATAACTCAGACTAAAATTTGAATTAGAATTTTAGAATTAAAATTTTCTAGAACTAGAATTGTGAGATTTCTATGTTTAATTTTCACTTTCCTTTGGAATTTAAATCAAGACATGTTTTCAAAGCCCCAAATGCTGTCAAACTCCCATTACAGTTTAATAAAACCCCTTTCCCACAGATTTTTTCCTACTAAGGTACAGAAGGGAAGCAGTTAACACCGACTTAGATACTCCTGCTGGAGGGCTCCCCCCGCTTCAGCGGGTTAGCACAGCGCCTGGTGTGAAGCACAAAAGACAGTAAGAAAAACATGTGGTCTGAGTTCAAGGTCCGGCCTCCTCAGTTACAGTATGTGTAACTTCGGATAAAATCTCAATTTTCTTACTTGTAAAACAAGAAAAATGACACCTTCCACCCCAATATGATAAAATGCTGACAGAAATAAAAGGGAATGTAATTTAAAGAATAATGCTGATGAAATGCAGTGAGAACACAATTAAGAGTGTTGCCCACAGCAAAGGCCAAGCCCTATGTAAACTATTACTACTCTGGGTATTTTACTACTTGTGTTATAGACACCTTGGGTTGAATCAGACTATTAAGTGTAAATACATCAAGGAACCTAAAAGAGCCTGTGAAGGTCAAACAGGTGAAAATAAATACAGACTGGGAAAGAAAGAGATGTATCGAAGAGTTTCTAACAATCGGACGAATACCAAGGAAGTTGTAGATTAGCATGGAACAAGTGACAACTTAATAAAGCAAATTTAAATACAGGCAGTCCTGCTTTGCCCAATTCCAAAATGACAAATCAACATGTTTAGCTAACCATTAACACCAGACCCTGACGACACAGTCGAAATTTCAGTTACCGCGGTGTATTAATTGTAATGCATAAAGTACAAAAGTCACTGCCAGGCCTTCAGTCCACAGATTCCTATGGAAATAGCTGTACATCATGATCAATAACCAATCACACCCCCGCTTTCAAAGTCTACCAGTGATTATCACTGCACGTCTATTGTTCAGCATGAGTAACGTATGGGCAGCAAATTGCAGTTACGTTGCCGCCTTATCTCCCAGGGGAAACCCATGTGATATTTTTATGAAAATGTGTAACTGGAAAAGGGAATAACCAACAAAGATAAAGTATGACAGAGCAACAGAAAGCATAAAGCTTTAAGTGAAATTCAAATCAAACAAACGGAAATATAGAAAAAATAGCTACAGGAAATGCTTCTACTTTTGCTGTTCAAAAACACGTATTTTGAAGATGGCTGCAGAGTAGATGGAAGCTACACTCACCCCCCTCCTGGTGCCAAACGGGATTTACAGCTAAATTACAGGGCAATCAACGGGAATAACCAACTGAAAGCTAGCTGAACAGAACTATTATAACCAAGGGTTTACAGATGCAGCCACACAGACTGGTAGGAAGGGTGCAGACACGGAGAGGGCTGCCCCCCCCACATGTGGCAGCTGAGAATCTGAGGGACATCTTGGCTGCAAAAGTCCCCTTGAGGAGCACGGGGCCTCAACCCAATGCCGGGATTCCCAACACAGACCACCCGAGCTGGGAAGAGAAGCCCCCATAGCACCTGGCTGTGAAAGTCAGCTGGGACTCTGCCACCTGCGAGAGGAGGGGGTCTGCTAGAAACCCAGGTGCTCTCTTTAAAGGGCCAGTGCACAGGTTCTTGCTCTCAAACACTAGTCCAGGGCTGCAGTAGAGAGACGGTGACTCAGGGAATATGGGAGTCATAAAGAGAAGAGCTGGGCGGCATGGCCCTGAGATCTGTAAGGGTCGCCGCGAGGCCCCTTCCTGTGCTGAGTCCCTGTCCCACACAGCCCTCAGGCACCATCTTCCCGGGGGGTCGAGCGCTCCTATTTTTACAGCACGAGCTGGGGAGCCCTCCAACTACTGGCAACGCCACCCTGCTGAGCTCTAGTCCTGCAGAAAGGTCTGCTGGCTGCACCCAATGGGGACCTTTGGTGCACTTTTTCTGTAGAAGCAACTGGCGGGGACTCCGTCATTGAGCTGTGTAGCTCTGCCCTTCTTCCCCACTCCCGCACTCGGCCGGGGCCCACCCACTTGATCCTACTGGCCTGTCCTTCCGACTCCCGGCGGCCTAGCCCTGCTTAGCTCAGTCCTGCAGGGGGTGGGGGTGCTGCTCAGAGCTGGGACCTTCGGAGAGCATCTCCAGTGAGGGCACATACAAGAAACCACCAATGAACGCATAAATGGATGGAGCAACAAGTCACTGTTTCTTTCTCTCTCTTCTCTCCCTTCCTCTCTCAAAATCAATCAATAAATAAGTTTTTAAAAGTATATGTAGGATAAATGTGTGTGTGTGTGGTGAAAATAACATTTGGGATTCATGGGAGGGGGTTAAAAGAGCAACAGTAACAGCAGTTGGAAGAAGCTGATTCCAACGCTCATGGATGATTTGAGGGGTTCAAGACTTCAGTGGAGGAGGTGACTGCAGGCATGGTGGACATAGCAACGGAACTAGAATTAGGAGTGGCGCCTGAAGATGTGACTAAACTACTGCAATCTTAGGAGTTGCTTCTTATGGATGAGCAAAGAAAGCGGTTTCTTTAGATGGAATCTACTGGAAGATGCTGTGAAGATGCTGAGATGACAACGAAGGACTCAGAATATTACACAAACTTAGTTGATAAAGCAGAGGCAGGGTCTGAGCGGACTGACTCCAATTTTGAAAGAAGTTCTATGGTTAAAATGCTATCAAACAGCATCACATGCTACAGAGAAATCATTTGTGAAAGGACAGTCCAACAATGTGGCAAACTTCACTGTCTTATTTTAAGAAATTGCCACAGGCACCCCAACCTTCAGCCGCCGCCACCCTGATCAGTTAACAGCCATCAACGTTGAGGCAAGATCCTCCAACAACCAGCAAAAAGATTGCTGACGGCTCCAATGGGTTAGCAATTTTTTAGCAATAAAGTATTTTTAAATTAAGGAATGTACATTGCTTTTTTAGACACAATGCTACTGTACACTTAACAGACTACAGTATAGTGTAAACATAACTCTTATATGCACTGAGAAACCAAAAAATTGTTGTGAGGTCACTTTATTTCCACATTCACTTTGTTGCTGTGATCTGGAACCGAATTCACAACATCTGCGAGGGATGCCTGTACTTAAAGTATATGAGGTTTCTTTCTGAGGGGATGAAAATGTTCTAGAATTAGACAGTATTGGTGGTTGCACAAGGGCCAGGTCCCCTTTCCAGCAACAAAACCAGGGTAAATTTTATGGTGTATGAATTATATCTCAATAGAAAAGAGAAAAAATAATTTATTTTTTTTAAGAAAGAACTGCCCTGGTTACCAGAGAGGCCCAGTAATGAAAAAGCACACAGCATTACAGTGTACTTCCTTCAAGGATAGTGTGAGCACCCACCTGTAGTTCCTCGGCCGTGGAAACATCCAGTCCTGTCAGATCTTGTATTCTCATATTAATTCGAGACACCACAGGGTTTTCATGGCCAGAGAGCCAGGCACTAAGAACAAGAAAATATTAGTTTTACTGATAATGTTTCAATACATGACGACGAATAGCTGTCATTTAAAAAGCTTTAATATACGGGACAAGAAGTCTCTATAGACATTTGGTTGATTTGCTTGTTTAATGTGATTTTTACTAATGAATGTTGAAATTTTTACAAAAAGATGTTATATTTTACAGTTAGAGGTTGGAAAGGAAAAATTAATCTCATTGATTATAGTTTCTATGAAAATAGCTGGGTTAATGTATCTACATTGAGATTTTTTTCTTTTTATAATTTTTGTAAATTCTGAGAAAATCCTTATCAAACTTAAAACAGTTGTTCCTTCTAGGTAAGGTATAGGAATTGACTGGGATGGAGGTCGTAGGGTTTTGGGCCTGATTTGCATAATGCTAACATCTTATAAGAAAAAAACCTCATGTGTTACTTGCATAAATAATTTTTTAAAAGTACCCAAACACAGCCAGTAAGATGGTTATAATAAAAAAGATGGACAGCCCGCCAGGCATGGCTCAGTGGTTGAGCGTCGACCTAGGATCCAGGTGATCGGGGTTTGATTCCCAGTCGGGGCACATGCCCGGGCTGCGGGCTCAATCAATGATTCTCTCATCATTGATGTTTCTCTCTCTCCTTTCCTCTCTCCGAAATCAATAAAAGATATATTTAAATTAAAAAAAGGGGGGGGGAAGTAGACAATGACAAATGTTGGTAAGGATGTGAAGAAACTGGAACCCTCATACGTTGCTGGTAGAAATGTAAACTGGTAGAGCCATTCTGGAAAACAGTTTGACAGTTCAAGTTGTTAAACACCGAGTTACCATCTGACCCAGCAATTCCATTCCTTGGTATAAACCCAAGAGAAATGAAAACATATTCATATAAAAACTTGTGTACAAATGTTCAGAGCAGCATTATTAATGGCCAAAAAGTGAAAATAATACAAATGTCCATCCACTGATGGATACAAGAAATGTGATATATCCCAGTTATGGATTATGCCATGGAAAGGAATGAAGTACTGATACTGATACAACAGGCATGAACCTTGAAAACATTACCTTAAGATAAGCCAGATAAAAAAGGCAACATTAAGATTCCATTTATATGAAATGTCCAAAATAGACAAATCAATAGCTACATAAAGTAGATTAGTGGTTTTTGGGTTAAGGGGGAATGGGGAAGGACTCCTAATGGGTACAGGATTTCTTTTCGGGGTGATGAAAATGTTCTAAACCTAGATGACAGTTGCACTGTGAACCCCAACCCACCACAGCTCTCCCTTCACTCGGTAGATAACATATCTCCTACCCCAGAGATAAAAACCATATAATCGACCTACATTTGCATCTGCCTGTTCCTTCTAATTCATTCTAGCTCCTCCATTCCAGCTCCAAGAGACTTCTCTCCATTATCTAAGGCTAATCCTCTGCCTTCCATTCTATTATCTCCTGCCATTTTAGGAGCCGTAAATCATTCATTAGCCCTTCTCTCTATATATTTTATAATCAACTTCTCAATAATTTATCCCACAGCTTTTAAATGAGCTTAAGTCTCTCCATTTAAATAAATTTAAAATTTTTTAAAGTTTCTCCCTCAACTCTTCATCTCCCTCTATGGTAGGCGGTTAGACAGACATTAGCAGAGCAAGGACCATGGGCCAGTTACGTGGAATTTCTGGATCATACAGTAACACTATGTTTAACTTTTTGAGGAACTGCCAGACTATTTTCCACAGCAACTGTACCACTTTACATTCTCATTCCTCATTTTTTTTTAAACTACTGCTTTTCTTTTAAAAATAAAATATTTTATTCCAAAATGACCATGAAGGTCTAAAAGTAAAGCACTGGTTAAATAAGGTTATTTCTTTTTCTCTATTACAAACAATACAAAAATTTCTCTGTATCTTTACAAACTTATGGGAGCACCTCAATAGGGTAAAGTACTAGATGTGGAACTGCTTGATGACTTTGACGTTTTGATAAATGAGTTTTGCCCTCAAATTGCCCTCGAAAAAGTTGGATTTATACTACTATAAACTGAGTGTGCATTTCATAAAATACTTGTCAGTATCAATCTTTTTAATCTTTGTCAATCTTAGAGGCAAAAATATTTTAATTTGCACTTATTATATCATAAATGATCTCAATGGAAGGTTTGAAGCTTAGCAGTTAAAGTAATTGATGATTACAGGTTAAAAAAAACATCTCAATTGTGGTTCTGTTATAGTCACTAGAAAAGAAGATGAACTCTACTGATACACAGAAAGTTCTTTCANTTATCTCAATTGTGGTTCTGTTACAGTCACTAGAAAAGAAGATGAACTCTACTGATACACAGAAAGTTCTTTCACTTAGACTTTCATGTGAAAAACCTCTTCAAAATATAGTAAGAATCTTCTTAGCAGAAGAACTCCATACATTTAAAACATTTTATTCACCTGGATCCCATCTTCAAATCATTGCTGCTAATCTGTCTTCAACATTATTGTAGACTTATCAGGTAGTCTAAGAAATTAGCTCTGAATTTACACTGTTCTAACACTGATAAAAATTCAGTGAAGACACTGATACTGTAACATATGTTAACTATTTTTCAGGATCTGGAAGTCTTATTCCTACATTAAATTAAATCATCAGAAATCAGGGTTCTTTCTCCTAGTACTTAGTGTTTTAACTGAGCTACAACGTAAAGTTGTAGCATTTATTTGGAGCAGGGAAAATCAAATGAACATATCTTTACCTTTGAAAATTTCAACTAAGTTTTACAGTGTTTTTTTCCATAAAACAATTTTTTGCTGGGAGCAAAACAGAACTCTTTGCCCAGATAATTTTATGCTTCCCTTTTCCCCCTTAATAACGAGATAACCCAAAATATCTTCCTTTTTGGTCTTAACAGCAACCTGAGAGTTAAGTTGTACATGCAGAGTAATGTTTCAACATTTTTTTTCTTTCTAATGAGTTTCTGTTGCTAAACCTTTTATTCTTTTACTATACGATTTTTAAAAGTATCACTGGAATGCTTTATTGGAGTACCGAGCAACATCCTCACACTGCCCATCACTGTAAATCTGAATTAGACTATCTAAGACATTAGGAAGGAAGGCATGCTCACGTGACCAGCAGGCACCACCATTCTGGAGGTTTCTGGAGACTGTTACAACACCCCCAAAGCAAAATATGAGTGATATAATCTGAACAACAACACTACCTACTTCTAACTCAACAGACGTGAAGATGAACATTTTACAACAGCTAATACAAAACCACTACGTAATTTTTTTAACCCACTTACTTATTCATTTATTATTTTTTTCATTTACTTTTTACATTCATTATTTTGGATTAGTTTTGGGTGTACAGCACACTATGTGATTTTTTCCAAAAGATAATTCAGGGCCCAAAGTGCCAGTTACAGAGGGCAAAACTTCCCAAAATTTTTTCTCTAAGTGCTTGAGTTAACAAAGAAAGGCTCGTCACCCAGACTAGTCGCTTTGGTTCTCAGTGGACAATTATGCAGTAATAACAGTAACACTATATAGACCTGTCCAGTCATCTAAGAAGCACTGATCAACCCAATAGAGGGTAATGCTGTTGTTAAAAGTTATTCCAACTTAAAAAAAACAAAACTGAAATCATTCAAAGCTACTGAATTTGTCTCTATACTGTAAAAATATTAATATACTTTTATACTGTAGTTGTTCTTTATTAACATGGGTAAATTAAATCTCAAGCACAATAAAATATCTTATTGTAGGAAATCTGTACTCCAGTGTAAAAAAATAAAAACCACTTCCAAGAATAACCCACCAGAAACAAAGAAGCTTTTCTACCACACTAAGCAGATTATTTATTTGCATATCTTTTATATTACTTTAACTGGACTTCATGAGCTCACATAACCAAACTGTCTTTTCAGTGCACATAATTGAATGCTTACCTTTCAAGAAACTAAAATTCCATTCCTCTGATTTAGCCAAAATTATCAGCTCTTCCATTAACTAGCTGTAATAAATTTTTAGTTTTCTTTTTTTAATATTGGCAAAGGCAGAGATTAGTTGCCAAAAGTTCAGTCAGTCAATAAAGTAAATAAAAATTTCATGTTTTTTAAACAGTAATGGACTTCCACATACTTTTGCCCAAAGAAAATTCTATTTGCTAGAATACTGGAACATATTTTTACTTCCCAAGAAGACGCAATCACTTAGAAATTTCTCAAAATACAGATATTTGAAATTCCCTTCTGACCCTTAAATACAGATGTTCCCAGTGGAAGAGCGATTACATTCATTAACATCAATACACACAAATTCTTTCTTCTGTTATGCATTTAAATGCCTTTTTCAGAGGTTTTATTTATGAAGGAAACATAAAACACTCATTTATTTCACTTGTACGAATCTTCAAAGTTCAGATTTACAGTGATGGGTAGAAAATATCTCGACATAACTATTAAATCCCCAAAACAGTAAAAAACTTTTCCTTGTTAAAATGTTAATTGTAATGGACATTTTATGGAGTAAATTCCTCTTTTAACAGTTAAGACCCTCTCTTTTCAACGTACATTTTGTTTTTAAAAGCGTTGCTGAACAATTTTCCCGAGAGTAGAGATGAAAATCACTGTGCTATGGAATTCCTTCTTTACTAGGCTGTCTTGTACAGAAACAACCTAGACTTTGCCAAGGCTGGGTGGATTTATCCTAGTGTCAGTCCTCTAATGCTTCTAATACTACTCACTAAATGTTTTCTACTGCTGTATAATATAAAGTATGGTTGTGCCTTTCTCAAAAATTAATAAAATTGCTTCTCAAAGCTATAAAATTAGAATATTTAAAAAATAAGTTCAAAATGTTTAGAAATATTTAGTTCTTAACAAAAAAAGGTGTTTGTGGGTCACCTTTCCAAGAATAATTCGACTTGTTGGTAAGAGTCCAATGACTCTGTGGGCTGGGTATTTCCTCAAAAGCTCCACTGTATATATAAAAAATTTCCAAAAATGACTTCCAAAACACTGAGTTCATTAAGTTTTGTTTTATATGCTTCCTAAAAGCATCCAAATCTGGATAATTTGGATACTTATAAGCCTTATGACAGTAAAAATGCCTAGAAACCATGCAATAATTTCCGATAAAATATATAATGGCTTGTGTGTGTTTTTTCAAAAACAGATAACAGGTTACTTTCTTTAGACATGAATAAGATTCTGTAATAAAATGGAAAATTAGTTTATGCTTAACTTAGAGTTAATTACAATGCATGATACGAATTAGTTTCTGCAAATCGTTACCATCTATTAGTATTCCTGAATCAAAATCATATTACAGAAAATTTAATTATGTTTTCCAGTGGGCAAGGGGGAAGGTAGTGGTATAGGGCAGGCAGTTAAGAAACCAGGATATGTTCTTGGAGATGATGACGGTTAATATAATATATGAAGAACACACAGCACGGCCCCCGAAGAACAAGGAAACACACCGACACAGTCTCTCCAGCCTGCAGAGCACTGTTGCTATGACTTACAGCAGTAAGAGTCAAATCTTTTTTTGTTCGGGTACCTCCTAAAATAGTTTTTAAAATCTGTGTACTCTTTTGCAGAATTTTCTAGTTGACAACTAAAGTTTAACATAATAGTTTCAAAGGATTTAATTTTGTCATACTAAAAATAGTGGTAATTTCTGAAAAATGATTACTTTTTAATGTATCCAGGGGACTCTACCATAATGATTTGAAGCCCACCATCATCCACTTAAAAAAAAATACCTGAATAAAGTGTTTTTTAATACTTAACAATTTTACGTCACACTTTTCCCCCTTGGACTTTCATTTTCATTCCATTCTTACCCTAGAATAGTGGTTCTCAACAGGGGTGGAGAGGTGGAGTCCTGAGGGATGATGGTGAAGATTTTGCCTACCAGGGGACATTTGGCAATGTCTGGAAACATTTTTGATTGTCACGACTAGGGTGAAGAGTGCTACTGGCATCGAGTGGGTAGAGGCCAGAGATGCTGTTCAACATCCTACAAAGCTCAGGATAGCCCCCAACAACAAAGAATTACCTGATCCAAAATGTCAGTAGTGCTGAGGTTGAGAAGCCCTGTCCTAGAATGATCTATTTCTATGCCTAAAAGCCTTTTTTTAAATATTTTTCTACAACAAAAATATCTATATAAATTGATAAATTTCCTATAATATAAAAGTCTGTTAAAAATGTCCTCTGGAATGACAATTAATAGTAATACAGTTGATCTAAATACCACGATTAAACAATCATCAAATATAAAAAGTGAAAATATATTAGAATGTTCCTATTGAGATGGATGGGGCTTATTTTGTTATTGTCAATTAGGTATTGTATCTGTGGGTAAATATACTTATTGCTAGAATGAGACTGAATTCAGCTCAATGATATTTCTATTTTCATTTTTATGACGCTAAGAAACCTCCTTTACATAAATAAGTAGGCGGCAAAGGAGTTCTGTTGGAATAATATAACTTATTCTGTGAGCTCCTTCTACCTTAAATACATAAATTAGTTATCTATTATTGAAAATTGTTTCACTGACCTAGACTTAAGTAGATTCTCTTTAAACATTATTAAAGTCAAAGAATTTAAAACCAACTGACTTGGAAAGGATTTGTTATATAATCTTTGAAGGCATTTACTTTCTTAATAGCTACAGCTCCTGGGTGACCAGAGATTTCTAAACCCCTGCTTTACTACATAGACCAAGTTAGTTAGACCTTGTTCTACGAAGGGACTTTGGGAACTCCTCTTCAATATGAGAATACAACTTCACTTAGCTGGTAGAGTTGGGGAGTCACAGCAGGAATTTTTAAAAATTATTTGAGAGAGAGAAAGGTCAATCGGTTGCCTCTGACTGGGGATCAAACTGCAACCTGGGTATGTGCCCTGACCAGGAATCAAACCAGAGACCTTTCAGTGACAGGAAGGACAATGCTCCAACCAACCGAGCCACACCGGCCAGGGTGGGATATGGAAATTTAATAAGTTACTCTGGCAAATCTCTATTAACTGCCCCATAACTAAGTCCATTTATTAGTCCATCACGAAAATTCAGGTATGGCTGTCATCAAACACCTATGCCTAACAGCCTATGTCTCTAAAACCATATCATGGGTTTTATGAAAATTAGATTCTCAGTAAAGAAAATGATCCAAATATGACTAAAATTCTCTCCATTACTCCCTTACCTCTTAGATACTCTGTACTGTGCTGTGGTCAATTTTCCAGTCTCAGGGTCATGTACTGTAGCTCGGCTCAGCTACAAAAAAAGAGAAAGGACAAGGACTTACTCACGTAGCAGGCAATTTTGGGCTTTTGTTTGTTTGTTTGTTTTGTTTTGCCAAGCCACAGGTGATTGGAAGGGTTCAGATTGGTCTGGATGGTAGGTAATGGTTTTAAATCAGCAAAAACATTTAGACAGGTGGCAATTAGAAAAGCCACTTCCAAATCAAGAGAAAACGAGTCAACAAATTTTGTTGTCGATTTATTGTCCTTTCACTTTTTTTAAAAAAAATTATTTGAAACTGTATGTAGATGATTTACAGCGCTGGGTTTCACAGGAACTTTCTTAAATCTAGAAGTTCAATGTTCTTTAAATATTATGACAAAAGAATTGTTAGTAGTATCTTTAAATTCATTTTTTAAAACTCTCACCCAGACAAAACTGTTAAGTCTCTCTGGCAAAGTAAAAGGCAACTAAATTCATAAGTAATAGCAGTTGGAAGACCGATCAGAAAAATAACTCTGTTCTTTCCATTGCCAACTTTTAAATCAGCAAATTTTTAAAAATAAAAACTCCAACAGGAGGAATACAGATTACTCCAAAATGACAACGGTATTTGAAAGATGTATGAGCAAATGCCAATACCATCACCAGGGAGGACGGTGTGAATTCAGGCAGCATTTATGAATGTGAGAGCAGCACAGAGACAGACTACTTCCAGGTTAATCCAGGCTGCTTTTTCTTTTTTCCCCCCTTTGGCAACAAAAGGAAAAAAGAAAAAAGTAACAAGCCATTTTCTGGATATTTCATTCCTGATCGGAACAGAAATGCAAAGCCTACTAATTCCCTAAAAATAAAAAACCAATTAAAGATTAAAAACAGAACTTCTAGTTAAAGAGAAAGACCTGTGAAACACAAAGCAGTTTTCCATGCGTATCTAAACAGGCGGTGACTTGAGCTGGAGACTGCAATGACCTACTTCCTTTAAATGAATAATTCCTGTAGGGTGTACAAAACACTCATTAGAGATCAAAATATGCAGCATACACATCTCTTACCTTTTGCTAATTCTGTAATGTACCGTCTCCAAGTCTCCTGTTATTGGGTTTGAAATGGTGGCTCGCCTCAGCTGTGAAGCCAACCATCAAAATACTTGCATTACAAAACAAAAAAATGAATCACATTTACTCAACCAGTCAGAATTCTGGGTTTTTTACAATGGAAGCTGAAAAGAGAAAATAACTCCATAGACTTCCAATCACCTTGGGTTGAGCTCTGAAAGCCAGTGGTTATTTCAGGTTTTTTTTGTTTTTTTTAAGTTATTTTTTAAAAAATTTGTTTCGTTTTGCATGAATAGGGGTACACAAAGAAAAGAGATTAAAAAATAAATTTCTTTCACTGGTTAGAGGATGTGACAGTGAGGAAAAGGGAAATGTCTAAAATTTGAAGTCTAATTTATAGTTATAAGAATGGCTATTTGCAATTAATGACCCATTCCAAACATTTGATTTTAATTGTTTTTTTAGTGGTGATACTGTTTTGCAAAGGTTAATGTTTAAAATTTGTTTCAAGGTCAATGTTTTCTTCCTTCAAGATATTTGCTCGTATATTTCACATATACAGTGAAATAATCTTGGACCAAGCACAATGCAAATGAAAAGAACTCATAAATGTCAAAAACAGTTTTAAAAAGATGACAGTCGATAATGATTTTAAAGTTTTTCTTAAATGGAGGATGATTCTAAGGTTATCAAAAAGAATAATACAATTGAGGCATCCCTTTTGAAGACTTTGGCCTCCATCCCTAGAGGCATAAGATTTAATCTCCAAGCTGAAATGAACTCTTAATAAATATTCTACCAAGATACTTCAGTTTACTGACCACAAATAATGGACTAAAATAAAAATCCAAAAGAGAATGATAGAATATAATGTAATTATAAGTAGAAATTTATAAGAATTCACTTGTAAAGAACTCATATTTATTAGATTGCCCTTTCCATTTAAAATGTAATCTTTGGTTAAAAAAAAGAAGTAGCAATTTGGAAAAGTAGTAAAACTTAACAACAAAAATTATATCTTTAAGATCACTTTGCAGTACAAATATCCAGATAATTTAACCTTTATGATACTACTAGGATCAGCAAACGATGCCATGGGCCAAATTGAGGCTGCCACCTGCTTTTAGAAATAAAGTCTTATTGGAATATAGCCACACTCATTTATGTATTTTCTATGGCTGCTTTTGCACTACAACAGCAGAGTTGAGTGGTTTTAACAGACTGTATGGCCCACAAAGCCTAAAATATATTTACTATCTGGACCTATAAAGAATAAATTTGACAACTCTTCTGCAATAAAAGAGGAAAAATATGCCTAGTGTTTATTTAACAATCTCTTTATGAAAGCAATGGCAGTTTGTATTTTACTATGAAGAAGATAATGTTTTAAAAACGAGCTGATGGTAAAAAAAAGGTAAGAGCATAAAGGGTAGTGTTTCTCACATTCTCACAAAAGAATTTGTACACTAAACACTAAGTTTAAAGGACTGCATTTACATTAAATTGTTTTTCTTATTAAGGTAAATTATGTGGGTTGAAGTCAGGAGACTATATTATCATTTGAAATCAGAATGATGCTTGTGCCTAATTATATCTTTCTAGTAATAATGTGCCTAAAAGGGAATAAAAAAAAATACTTCAAGTATTTTTTCAGATAAAAATACAGAAGAATGAAAAAGTTGATCTTTGATTAGTCTGAGGCTAAAGGGCTCCAAAGTACAAAGAAAACTTTTTCAGAAAGATGCTGAAACAAATTTGTTATGTGTGAAATAAAAATCTCATCTATACTTTTCATCATTAAGAGCTTAAAACCTATTTCCATATAGAATGTTAACAACCAATGTTGCCCCAATAAATTTAATTTAAAAAAAAAAACATTTGCAAGATATGTTGTGTTGATAACAAACTGAGGAAAACCTGGTAACAACTCCATTATGTTGTGGCAACGATACCTCAAACTGTGATGTTATTGCTATATCAATGATCATTTCTGTAATCTTGCAAAAGAAAAATTGATACACAGGTATAGTAAATAGAGGAGAAAGAAAAAAGTTATTTACCCTGGGTTTTGCTAGATCTTTGACAATTTCAATTTCTGCATCAGAAATAATATCATGGAAGCGAATAATTCGAGGCTTGTCCCATTCGTCCTCCTGTTTGGCCGGAGCCAGAATAAATTTAGGATTCCTGTTTCCATCGTGGTAGCGGCAGAAGAGTTTCTTCTGTCTCCGAGGAGTCTAAACATAAAGTTAAAAAAATGATAAATATATTAGAGCAATAATATTTTTAATGCTATAATCATGCTCGTGTATACACACAGTTATCTGTGGAAGAACACACACAAAAACAGTTCTCTGCAAATATTCTGCATCAAACAGGACCTTCAGGACTTAAAAAATTTTATTAATGATTATTTTCTGGGAGAGAGATGGTAGACCTTAAATAAGAAAAAAGGTAGCGTTTCTCTTTTAGCCCTCCTCTCATCAAAACAAAGTTCAAGTGTTATAAGTATGAAAAAAATACTTATGAAAATAAATGATCAGCATTGCTCCAAACTTCACAAAGTAACTGGAAAACACTCAGAGAGACAAAGTTTCTAAAAGGAAAAACAAAACCTAACCAGGCTTTTCTAAATAACTCCCAGTTAAATGCTTAAGGCAAAAAAAAAGGGGGGGGGGATTTTTCTTTTAAAAGATGAAAATACAAGAGAAAATAAGTTATTAAACAAAGAAGCCAGGTATTTTTATTAGTGTATGTTTAAAATTTAAAATAGAGCGGTCAACAAAGCAACTAAATGTTTCTTTCAATCACCTATGTCCTGTATTAACTAAAGTTATTGCACTGCTGATTGTTTTCTTGATTAAATACATATGTCGTATATGAAATAGGAATATTAGTTTTTGTTTTAGTTCTTAGTTAACATACTAGAACAAATAATGGTTCATGTTTATTTTCCATGTATTTTATTTACCTAGAATAAAATCCAAAGTTTTATGTCAAATAAATTTTTTACATAATAATGAGATGAGTTTATTGTGAGAAAAAGGATGCTCCTTTGATCTTGGGCAGGGCTCACATGTGTCACATCAAATTAGCAGGCTAATGTTTTATACTTATAATTCTATTTTGCTCTCTTCTTTAAGAGTTATTAAGAGCAATAAAAAACATGCTCTCTATTAGAAATCTGAACACGGCTAGATATTTTATATTATGGAACCATTGTGAATTTTTTTAGGTGTGATAATGGTATTATGGTATGTGTGATGTTTTTTCAACAGCCCTTATCTTCAAAAGATACTAAAATATTTAGATGTGAAATTTTAAAAAATGTTTTATGCATCTAACTGCTATTATCCTTGTCTTTACTCATTAGCTCTCAAAGCAAAAGTAGGCTTGTTCTTCCAGGACCCCATAAACTTAAAACACTCAAAGGTGTCAACATAGATATGACTGACTTATTTGCTGTTAGAGGTTATACTGTCAACAGGAAATCATCCTTGCCCGGCCGGGCGTGGCTCAGCGGTTGAGCGTCGACCTAGGATCCAGGCGATCGGGGTTCGATTCCCGGTCAGGGCACATGCCCCGGCTGTGGGCTGCAGCCGATCAATGACTCTCTCATCATTGATGTTTCTCTCTCCCTCTCCTTTCCTCTCTCTGAAATCAATAAAGATATATTTAAAAAACAAACAAAAAAACAGTAAATCATCAAATATCAAAAAGTCATTGGAAAGCCCAGCTTCAGTTTATTAGTAGTAGATTAAAAGTTAAACACTATGTATTCAAATGTTTACACTTAAAAATGCTTACTTTAAAAATTCACTAATTCACTTCCTTCCACGTTCAACTGAAAATTAGTATCACATGATATTCCTTAAAAGAGGGTTCCGTTATCGGTTAATGTTGGGAAGCAATGTAGGCCATATCCATAATGCACATTAATGTAAAGAGGCTCTGAAGAGTCCTGAGGGTGAACAAAAAACCTATGCTTCCCAGACCTGAACGCTTTTGTTTTTGGCCCATCTTCTATCACCGTCCTAAAGCACTGCACTTTAAGCTATAAATATAGATACACAATAAACAAAGGAATATATATATATGTGTGTGTGTATATATATGTGTGTGTGTGTGTGTGTGTGTATATATATATATATATAGACACATTTTAGTATTTTAAAGAATAGAAGTTAATGCCAAAGCCTCTTGAAAGGCTGAAATAGACAAATATTTCCCTAAGCAATCCTGTCAAGGTTGACTAGGAGCAAAACCACAGGAGATCACTGTATAGATGAATCCACTGTTGCATAGGATGGATTAGAATGGTATATTATTTCCACTCAAGACTGCTGAAATCTCTCTTGCATTAAGATATAAGCAACCCTGGCCAATGTGGCTCAGCTGGTTGGAGCATTGTCTGGTGCACCAGAAGGTTGTGGGTTTGATTCCCAGTCAGGGCACATGCCTAGGATGCGGTTTGATCCCCAGCTGGGGCATGTACAGGAGGCAACCAATCAATGTTTCTCTCTCTTTCCCCCGCTTCCTTTCTCTCTAAAATCATTTTTTTTTTAAAGATATAAGAAAAAACTTTATCACTTCCCTTAAATTATCTGATCCTTCACCTTTTAATCTATGAAAAGGGTCATATTACCAAAAATGCATGAAATGGCGTATGAGTCACAGGCTTTATTTTAAAGCTATTTTACTAACAGTTGGCGTATATTAAGGTGGTGTAGCATCCTATAATCCTTTATGCAGTAATTCTGATTTTTATCACATAGACTTAAATATAAAAGAATTTTATTTTCTCTAGAACTATGTACAGACACATACACAAGCACACATTCACACGCACACACACACAATTGGCTTTTCCACTTTACCATTTTGATACCCTCCCCACGGCACAGCATTTCGTACTTCTGTCTCTCTGGCAGGTAATCCACAGCAGCCCCTTTTTTCTTCAGTGTGGTTTTCTGATCAGATTGGTCATCTGAAGCAGACTTATTGGAATCTTTTTCTTTAGCCATTATATACTCAAAATATTTTAAGTTACCATTAGCTCTCTGATGTTCAGGATCTATTAGAAGAGAAAGAGCATGTCCACGAGTAAGCTTACAGTTGTTCAAACATCAGATTACAATAATATAAAATAGAGGGCCATACAATTCACATTCCAAACCAGTATGCCTTTGAGAGTGAAAGAAAGGACTAGGAAAAATTATTATGCCAAAGCAACAGGTGTAAACCAGCACTGCCCCAATAAAGCAGGACATACAGTCACCCTATATAAAAAGAGTTCTGGAGACAGAGCAGCCATTTACTTCAAAGTAGCAATTAGTGCTTCTACTTTGAGAACTTACTAGTTAGCCAAAAGAGCTATGTATGATCAATTTGATGTCAAATGAATTTTTTAAATATTTCTCATTCTTTTAAGCAATGGAAAAGATTTTTTCTGAGACTGAAATGTAATTACCATGGGGAAGACTCTGTATAACTTCAAAAGCAACCTTTACCACAGATAAATTATAAATGCAGAACACAGCCTACTTCTGAGGGCTAAGTGGATTTTAGCCCCAAAATTCTAAATGGGACAGAAAAGAGAAACTAAAGATATAATTTTCAAATAAACCAGAATCCACTAATTACCTCTGAATTGCTAGTCATAATTTTTAGCTGTCTTTCAGGCGGGGAAAAGAGGACTTACTCCACCCATCCGGGAGAAGGGAAAAACTAACCACCATACACACAAAAAAAGGCAGAACGGTACGTAGAAACTTCACTTGTGACATTAGTTGGAGTATTTAGGAAATCTAGCCTTATTTGTAAAGTATTTCTTGTCTCTAGGAAACTGCTCACAACATATGCAGTGATATACATATTGTATAATTGTGTAAAAGGAAGGAGAAGTGTGTGTGTGAAAGGGCCATGTACAAAGAAATAAAAAAGCTTGTAGGTATCTTTGGGTGACTGGCTCATGGATGACTCTTCCATATATTTTTCTATTTTTAAAACTTTCCTACAATGAGTAAAGTTTTTTTTATGTCGGGGGGGGGAGGAATCACTTAAAAATACTGAAGAGAAAAAAAGGTACTTGAACTAATATCTTAATTTATTCATTCAACTAAAAGATAACCTAATTATCAAATAATCACTTTCAGATGACCAATCCTTTTGAACTTCTTCACTCTTCTGACATATAGATATTTATCTATTCATAAAAAATTAATTTTTTAAAAGTTGTAAAGCTTCATTATATACCAAAGGCCACCTGAATTTATTAGCATACAATTCCACTTCCAGAGATTCTAATTTAGTAGGTCTGGGGTGGAAATCAAGGAATTTTCATTTCTAATAAGTATCCAAGTAATTCTGATGCACACAGTCCCTGGATCATATTTAGAGAAACATTACATCTCTATTTAAAATACTAGTGGTAAAATCCTGATAAGATACCACATTTTTCTATCATTTGAATATAACAATCAAATACATTTTCAATCTATTTCAAATCACTATTTTTGAAGGTAAAATGCATATAACCAAAAACATTCTTCAAAGGAAACTGGTTAATATTTAATATAGCAACATGGTAAATAAACATTTTTAACTGAGTTAGCCAGATTAGGTCCAATTTTGAAATTCCTGAAAAGCACAGAGCAGAGAAACACAGCCACTGCTGTAGTACTACGAGGTGAGAAACATTCATTGCCATTTGTTTAGAGGCTAATCACAAAGAGGGTCAAGTATGTCTGACAAACAAGGTGCTTGAATTCTAACAAATAAAAAGTTCAAATCTATATGAGATATTGAGTCATATATATATGACCAATGTATCTACAACCTGAATTATGCTAAATTCACATACCTAGCTCAAGCAGCTGCTTTGTGAGCAAAAGTGCTTTATCAAGGTCTCCCTGCTGGTACACCGCATAGCTCAAATAATCTAGGACAGAGACTTTATCGATGGTAGAAACCTCGCCTTCGTCCAGCTGCCTGAGTGCTTGCTCCATCCACAGTTCCGTATGATAATAATCTGCTTCTGTATAGGCCACTTTGCCCAACTCAAAACAGTCCTCAACTGTTAGAAAAGATTTGTGTTTGACTCCTATGGAAAGAAAATACAGAGAGAGAACTTCAGGATTCTTAATACTACTCAGTATTTATTTAGGACTATACAGCTTTCAAAGTGCTATCTCACTTTCATTTGAACTTCACAACAATCCTCTGAGGGAGGAAAAGCAGGAATTATCTTAAAATTATAAACACAGAAAAAATTTACAAGGTAATGAAACATGGCAAGAATCTAGGGGACATGGGACCTAGATATCCCAAGACTTCAAATACCAGCCACCATACCAAAATGAAACATCAATTAAGTTGAAGCGTGCGCTTTTCTAACAGCAGGAATCGCCATGTGAGATAGATACCTAGCTTCCTCCTAACCAACAATCTGGGCAAGAGATGGATGGGCAGGAACAGAAGCAAACCAGGTTCCCTTCCCTTCTCCTCCTCCTTCCCTTTCCAACAACATTAATGATATGTAATTTACAGACCATAAAGTTCACCCATTTAAAAAATAACAAAAGTTTTTAGTATATTCACAAAGTTGTGCAACCATCACCGAAATCTAATTTTAAAACATTTTCATCACCCCCAAAAGAAACCCTGTGTCCATTAGCAGTCACTACCCATTTTCTCCCCAGCCCTAGACAACCACTAATCGACTTTGTGTATCTATAGATTTGCCTACTCTGGTTATTTCATATAAATAACATCATGAAACGTATGGTCTTCTGTGACTGGTCTTTTTAACTCAGCATAACGTTTTCAAGGTTCATCCATGTTGTAGCATCCTTTTTATTGCCAAATAATCCACTGTATGGACAGACTATATTTTGTTTATCAGTTGAGGGACATTTGAGTTGTTTCCACTTTTTTGGCTTTTATGACTAATGATACTATTAACACTGGCGTACAAGTTTTTGTGTGCACAAATGTTTTCATTACTCTTGAGTATATATGTAGCAGCAGAATTGCTGGATCCTAAGGCAATTCTATGCTTAACATTTTCAGGAACTGCCAAACTATTTTTCAAAGTGGCTACCCCCTTTTACAACCCCAACAGCAATGTACAGGGGTTCCAATTTCTCCATACCCTCTCTAACACCTGTTATTGTCTATCTTTTTTATTATAGCCATTCTGGTGAGTATGAAGTAGTGCTTCACTGTGGTTTTGATTTGTATTTCCCTAAAGATGATGTTGAGTATCTCTTCACATGCTTATTGTCCATTTGTGTATCATCTCTAGAAAACTGTATATTCAAATCCTTTGCCCATTTAAAAATTTGGTTATTGGTCTTTTTATTATTGATTGTTAGAGTTCTTTACATATTCTAGATACAAGTTCCTTATAAGACATATAATTTTCAAATATTATTTACCCACTTTGTGGGTTCTCTTTTCACTTCCTTTCAACTATTATTGATGTTTTTGTTTGTTTATTGTTAATCCTTACCCAAGGATATTCTTTCCATTGATTTTTAGAGAAAGTGGAAGGAAGGGATGGAGGGAGTGAAAGGGGTAGAGAGAGAGAGCAACATTGATGTGAGAGAGACACATCAATCATAAGCACCATGACTGGGGCCGAGGATTGAACCTGCAACCAGGTACATGCCCTTGAATGGGAATCAAACTCTCAACCCTGTGGTGCGTGGGCCACTGCTCCAACCACTGAGCAATACTAGCCAGGGTTATTCTTGAGGTTTATGCCAGTGTCTTTTCACTTACTTGATGGTGTACTTTGAAGCATAGAAGTTTAAATTTTGAAGTCTAACTGTTCATATTTTAAAAAACTGACATCAATTCTTACTGTCTATCATACAAAAACACCACCTCGGGTTTTGCAATATGCCCACACACAACTGAAGAAGTGCACACACTCCACAATTACAAAGCACATGATGAAAAACGGCTACTATGAGCAAAATAAGTAGAAATTATTCAAAAACAATATTAGACTTCCCCCAGGTTCTTCAGATATTGGTGTTATCAGGTTAAGGATACAAAATAACCATGAATAAAATGTTTAAGTAAAGAAAAAATAGAATATACGAACATATGAGATACTCTAAAAAGACCAGTCAGATTTGAGTAGGAAAAAAAACAAAACTTCCAGAAGTGATAAATATAATCAATGAAATAAAAACCTATTGGTCAGGTTAAATAGCAAGTTAGACACAACATAAAAAGAGAATAATAAACCTAGGAGAGAGAGCTGAGTAAATTACCATGGGATTAACGACCCAGGCTGCAGCAGAGAGGAGAGAGAAACACGAAGGGCTACTTAAAAGCAAGGAAGAAAAAGTGAGGTGGTCTAATTATGTCTATGTGTAGTTCCACAAGAAGGCAATAGGGAGAATATGGGAGAGGCACTATTTAAAGAAATAATGGTGGACAGTTTTCCAGAATTAAAACCCATGGAACTTCTGATTTAGGAAGCACAAAGAATTCCAAACCAAACAAAGTACATGTGGGGGATTCTTAAAGCATGCGTTTCAAGGAGGAAAATAATTCTAAAAGAAAAGTCTGAGGTACGAAAAACGATTATAAACAAAGAAATTGGTATACATATGAGCCAAACTAAATTAAAGTGAACTATCAGATTGGCAAAAATCTCAAAGTCTGACAACATTTTGGATGCTGCTGTAGGGAAATAGGGACTCTCACTGATTGCTAGTGAAAATGCAAAATGATACCACCACTAAGGAAGGAACCTGCGACAATAATAACAAAATTACCCATGCATTTACTTTTTGATTCAATGGCATCACTTATAAAAAAAAATATCCCAAAGATCACTTAGCAAAAATACAAAATAACATCTGCATAAGGTTACTGGCAGCATTATTTTTAGAACATCAAAAGACTGCAAACAAACCAGATGTGTATCAATAAGGACCTGGTTATTTACGGTACCTCCACAAAACAGAGTAACATGCAGCTGTAAAAGAGAATGAGTCAGGTTCCTATATATGATGAAGTGATAACACCAAGGTATAGAAAATATTTATCATGTTACCTGCTGTGTTTGTGTTGAGAGGAATAGGAATATATATCTATATATTTGCTTATATTTTCCAAAAGAAACAATAGAAAAAAAATAGAATGGTAGTTATTACATATAGGAAGAAGGAAGGAACGGGTTGAGGAGCACAGAAATAAAAGTGAGAATTGTCAGTGGATCTTATTAGTATAGTCTGAAATTTAAAAGAATATATAAAGTTTTACATAATTACAAATAATATGAGAGAAATGGGAGAAGGTGGTCAAAAGACAAAAGATACATCTTTCAGTTATTAAATAAGTAAGTTCTAAGTCCTAGTACAGAATGGTGATTATTGTTAATAATACTGTATTGTATATTTGAAAATTGCTAAGAAAATGTACCTTAAAAGTTCTCATTGCCCTGGCCAGTGTGGCTTAGTTGGTTGGGCATCATCCCATGCACCAGGAGGTTGCTGGTTCGATTCCTGGTCAAGGGCACATGCCTGGGGTGTGGGCTCAATCCCCAGTAGGGGGTATGCAGGAGGCAGCTGATTAATGTTTCTCTCACATTGATGTTTCTTTCTCTTTCTCTCTCTCCCTCTCTCCCTCTCTCTCTCTCCCTTACTTCCTCCCTCCCTCTACCCCCCCTTTCATTCTCTGAAAAGCAATGGAAAAAATATCCTGGGGTGAAGGATTAAAAAACAACAAATCACAATGTGATACCACTACACATACAATAGATTGGCTGAGATTAAAAACACTAAATATATAAAGACAAAGAGAGAATCTTAAAAGCATCAAGAGAAAAGCAGTTAGCTACCTACAAGGGAGCACTCATATGACTGTCAGCTGATTTCTCAACAGAAACTTTGCAGACCAGAAGGGAGTGGCAAGAAATTTTCAACTTCACGAAAAGCAAGGACCTACAACCAAGATTACTCTACCCAGCAAAGCTATCATTTAGAACTGAAGGTCAGATAAAGAGCTTCACAGATAAGAAAAAGCTAAAGGAGTTTATCACCACCAGACTAGCATTACATGATATGTTGAAGGGTCTTTAAGAAGAAGCTAATGAACAAAATAAACTGACAAACAAAATAGACTCAGAGACATTGAAGCATTCAACATATTATCATATTTCAGAGGGAATGGGGAAGAGGGGGGGGGTCAGGAAGAGATTAACCAAAGAACTTAAATACATATATGCATAGCCCATGGACACAGACAATAGTGGACGGAAGGCCTGGGGAGGGGGCAGGAGCAGGTAGAGGGGGTCAGTGGGGGTACAAAAGGGGGACATCTGTAATACTTTCAACAATAAAGATAAATTTTTTAAAAAGTACTGAATATACCAAGTGTTAACGAGTATATGGATGAACTAGAACTCTTCTAATACACTGATGTTAGGAATATAAAATGGTATAATAATTTGGCAGTTTCTTAAAAGTTAAATATACACCTTCCATGCAACCCAGCCATTTCACTCCTACATATGTAACCAAAAATAAATAAATATATAAAATAATAAAAAAATAGAGAACAATCCCCAAAAATCAGAAAAAAATACAGAAATAAATGAACCCAACTATATAATACATTGAGGGCATAAGAACACAAATAAATAAATTACTTCCTGTGTTTTTAAAACAATACTATGATTATATCTAGTATAATACATTCTAAGGAAAAAAGTATGAAGGAATAAACTGCATTCAATATTCTTAATGTTATTAATAATATAGAAATTGTTATTTTCAAATTATTTTAGACATTATAGGATAATACAAAGAAGTAATTGTTAATGTCATTGGAATCAAGAGTTTCAACACAAAAGAGATATGTCTAAACTTTGTAATCTTAAATTTCAATTGAAACAATATGAACTCACATATCTTTAGCCATTGAAAATACCTAAAATCAGTGACAATAAACATCCCAAGAACCTAGCTAGACTCTGCTCCCTAAATGTCATTACCTATTAAAAAGAATCAAGGCTCATCATAGAAATGCCTAATTCCTGCACTAGAATAGAAATTTATAAGGTAAGCCTGGAAAAAATTGACAGAAAGCAAAGAAGCTTCCTTGCTAGCAAAGAATAATAATAGAATCATTTCAGAAAAACAAATTAGCCAATCTAAAGGACGCCATTGACCTAAAATGGGATAATCTGAGCATCCAATGAAATAATGAATATAATGACTTGAAATACAAAAAATATATAAAAATATGAGTTCATAATGATACTTCACATAAAAATCACTAGTAACTACAAAAAACTATTATGACATCAACTCATTATTCTGAAAACTGACACAAGAAAAAGAAGGATTTATTTTGTCTTTCATGTATAAATTATACAGTTCAGGGTAACCAAATGGTTCCTACAAGAAAGTTCTTATTTATAGAATTCCAGCTGATAAAAGTAGAAGGAATGATGGAATGAGAAAAATCACCATTTTGCAACCCCTAATGAAATAGTTCTAGGCAATGATCATCAAAGGCTGCCAAATCCATTGGACAAAACTCATGGAGAACTTTAATATGGCTGTATCAGTCTCCCATCACTGAAGCTACTCATCAATTAGCATCACAAAGTGTGTTATCAGGTCATTCAATTCAACAAAAGGGCAGAGCGCCACTTATGGAATTAACTTAAAAACAAATCTAAACGAGCCTCAAGCTCTAACCAGTTTGTAGGAAACACAGATATTAGAAGAACAAGTTAAACAATACAAAAGAAATCGGACAACTCCAGAACATAGTACATTCCACAGGACATATGCCCAGGTTTTTCCAACTCATCAACGGAATTGCCGGG